TCCTGAATGGCAGATCAGGAGGCCCCCGAGAGAAGCAACTGGTGACCCTGTTTCCTGTGGCCTGCGGACAGGGGAAGCCAATTGCCAGCAACCAAGATGTGAGGACTGGCCGGCCTTGGGGACATTGGAAATGCGCCCACCTCTCTGATCCCTTCCCACACCATCCCTGTCCCAGGGATGCCTTGCCCAGCCTGTGACCCACCGCCGCCCTGCCCTTCCAGCCCTAGGGCCCAGGCTGCGTCTGTGGCTTTGACTCCCATCTAGGCAGGGCCATAGGGGGCCTGGCCCCACGTGACCCCTGTCCTCACACCCCCAGGGGATGGTCCATATACTACTGGGATAGAGGGTGGTGGCCTCGGTGGCAGGTTGGCCTTTGAACCCAGTCTTTTGACTATTGTCTTACATTGTCCGTTCCACCCACTTCCTGACCAGCCCTGAGCAAAGTGGGTGGAGGCTTGTATGGACAGAGCATTTTTAAAAAGGGAGGTAGAGAAAGAAACCCATTCCGGACTAGGCTTTCAGGGGCCATCCTTGGGGTGCCTGTGACTAGCTGCTACAGCAAATGAGTGTGTGTGTGTGTGTGGGGGGGTGCTTGGCAGGGGCACAGAGTCTGGTGTGGCTTCAGCAGCCAGAGGCAAGTCAGGGCACCCGTTTCTGAAGGTTTCTGCTAACCAGCTGCCCTGGCTCTGGTCCTGGGGTTCTGGGGAAGCAGAAGCTGGTGGTGAGAAAGCAGACCATCTTCCGAGGGGGGTCCCACCCTGCCTTTTTAGGGTTCTGGGTCAGGGAGAAGCAGGTGTGTGATAAGAACACTTTCCCACTCCCTCTCCTACCCCAGCTCTGCCATAAAGCTGGTGTGAGCTGTGGGCAGAGTGTGTGGCCTGGAGGGCGGTGGGAGGGGCCTCACATCCACCAGCAATGCTGCAGGGCCACGGCCCTTGTGTGGGCTTTCTCTCATCTGCACCCCTGGCTTCTGTCCCAAAACCTGGAGGTGTGTGTGGGGCTGGAGCGAGGGAGGCAGCCTACCAGGCATCTGGGGGCAGCTGCTGCTGGTGAAGTAAGGGATGGGTCAGGTGTGGGGAGGGGCTGGGATTTGGTAGGAACAAAGCTCTGGCAGCAGACCTTCTGGGTTTTTCTGATGGGGCTCAACTCCAAACATTCTTCCCTGTCTTCCGCCCCCCGCCCCCCGCTCCCCGCCACTCACCCCGTCCAGGGCTGGGAAAGCCTGGGGTGGGCAAGAGAGGGCGGAAACTGCCAGGAGGAGACACGTGCCAGGTCTAGTGCTGCTCTGTGACGCTGAGCCCGAAACGCCGACCTGACCCCAATCCTGCTACGCACCCAAGTGCGGGGTCCACCCCTCCCACAGCTTCTGTACTACGGTGGACAACAGGAGGTTTACAGTGTGAGTACTTGAAACACAGGGCTTATTCTTGTATTATTATTTACTAATTATTGTGTTATTGCCCATACAAACAATTGTACGCCTATTTTTGCCCACGCCTGTATTATCTTCCGGCCCTTCTGCAGGCAGGCTCAGCCCTCACTGCTCTGCCAGCTGAAGACCGAGTAGGGACCAACACCAGCCCTGGCTACGCCCTCCGTGGTGGATGCAGACACGGCTCCCCCGCTTTGCTTACATAAGCCCACTGGCTGGGTCCAGAGCTCAGGGTAATCCCATCTACGGATGGTCATTGAGGCTGTGTGGCAGCAGGCACGGCCCACAGTGGGCTCCCCGCCCTGCAGCTGGCCTGATGCACCTTGAGGTATGTCCCAGGCGGTGTCAGCACTGCCCTGCAGCACGTTGCCCTGCAGCACGCTGCCCCTTCCTCCCCGGGGTGGGCCAGCAATGGAAAATAGCAGTGGCTCCTCTGAGCATCCGCCAAAAGGCTCCCAAAGCTGGCTTGTCGGCACCCCCCCTCCAACAGAAAGGTTCCTCTGACTTGGGAGAAACTGCAAGAAGCGAACATGTTGAGCGCTTGCTAACTGCTTCCCCTTCTGATCCACAAGGCTCTGATTCTCCTGTGACCACCACCAGTGAGATAAGCAGCTGGCCGTGGCTGTGCACCAGCCTCAGAAAGTTCCAGCAACTTGAGGTCACCACTAGCAGGTGGCACAGCAGGATTGGCATCCAGGTCCACCTGTCTTTAAAGCCCGTATCTCCCCACATCCCAGGCCCCCAGAGCTTCCCTCCCCAGCCTCAGTCCAGCTTGGCCACTACCCTCTGTCTCTTACTTTGCAGCAACAACCCCGCAGCCATAATCGGAGTCAGTAGGCCTGGATGGCATGCCTAGAGGGCTGGGATGCAGAAATAAACACGGGCAGGGATGCGCTCATCCAGAGAGGGAAGGCGCTCTCTGAACCTCACTGCAGGGGGCGTAGATACAGAGTGACCCTCTCTAGCCAGCAGTCAGCGAAGGCTTCCTGGGTGGGGATAGGCACGTTGGATCTTGAAGAGTATGGACTGCACTGTAGATGCTTACATTTAACTCACTGAAGTGGAAAATGTGCTCCTTCAGTTGCACCAGCCACATTTCAAATGCTCACAGCAGCACGCGGACCTGGTGGCTGCCTCTTGAACAGCCTCAGAGAGCGTTTCCACCCTCCCAGGAAGTTCTGTGGGGCAGGCTGGTCTATAATAACTCCTAGGCTAGGAGTTTAGGTACCTTCCCCTAATGGGAAGGAGGAAGGGTGAGGAGCAGGCTGGCGGAGGGCAAGGGAGTGCTCAGTTTGGGCCACAGAGAGCTTAAAAGGTTAATAGCACATCCAAGTGGAGATTGAGGCGTGCCTATCCTCCTCAACCGCTATCTCCCTAAACAGGGTTTGCAATTCAACTGGACACCCTCTCCTTGGGAATTTCAAGGGCCTCACTAATATCCAATCTTAAACATCCCTAGGAAACTGCTAGGAGGCAGCCGTTGAAGTGGGTGCAGGGTGGATGCTATGTGTGTCTGTGTCTGGACTCAAGGCGGATGCTGGGTCTGCCTGGAAAGGGGGGGCTGGAAAGAGACAAGAAGGTGCTAGCAGGCGATGGAGGGCGGTGCTGGCTGGAGCCCGTCTAAAACCCCCAGCTCCATTATCTCTTGGAGGAAGGAAGTAGAGGAAGCAGGGGTCTTAGGGCCTCAACCTGGACCTTGGGATCCTCAGAGCTGAAATGATTCCTAGAGATAGTCTTGTCCGAATCTCATGAGATCCCTGCCATCCATAGGGCTATAAGTGCGGAAGGATGACCTAACTCTTCTAACTCCTTTCTTTCAAGGTTTTTCCTCAAACCCTTTCCAATAGAGTAAGACAGACACCACTGTTCCTCTGCGGCTCTCTCCTGACCACTCCCGGGGATCAATCTGGGCTCCCCCGGGGTGAATATGTAGCCCACGTCCCTTCTCTCACTCACTCCCAACCCTCGACTTGGAGCCAGACCCAGACCTCAGGGCACAAGAGGCAGACAGCACTGAGCCCCGCCCCTTCCCTCTTCCACTCCAGCACGTTCTGGGAAAGACAGCACTCCCGGGACATTTTTAACAAGTCGTGCCTCGGGCTTAGTCAGGAAGAACAAGGAGAATGGGCCAAGAGGCTAGCAAGGAGCAGGAGGATGGAACCATCTACTCAGTGCCCCCTGCCCCCGTCCTCAGGACTCCCCACTCATCCTACAAGGAGAGGAAAAGGCTGCAGGCCAATGTCTGTCTTCCTGGATCCCTAAGGAATGGCACAGGGAGAAGCCACAGGTCGCCCCCTGGTGGGTGTTCTCAGCCTTGGCTGCTCTCCACCTAACGCCTGGATGCTGTCCCAGAGACTCTGGGTAGCACCAGATATTTAATAAGCCGCTCTAACAACCCCCTCACACACTTCCCCCGGGAGATTCTAGTGTGCTAGGGCACACCCAGCTCAGAGCTGCCAGGGTCTCTCTGGGGCTCTAGGCTGCGGCATGGTGGGGTGAAGTGTCTGAGCCCCATGAGCTAGCGCCACAATCCAGAGACCACAGGATGGGAGACGAGGTGCTCCCAGCTTTGCTGAAGATGATGCATGAGCTTGGCATGTACACGGGCAACAGGTATCTGCTTTGCCGCCCTCGTGCCACACTGAGGTAAGCCTGCCAGCTAAGGGCGCTGCACGCAGCCGGGGAGGGTGGCACGCAAAGGTGGGCCTGCCAATTGGCTGAGGATGGAGCTGGCCATTAGTTGGGGCAGAAGGTTCTTTTCTCTGACAACTACAAAACACCCTTGAGTTGGAGGGGCTGCTCCAGCAGTGTGGAAAGGTCGAGAGGGCAGGTGGGACCCCTAGGTCACCTGTCCTGACCCCACCACAGCTCCCCTCCACCCCCTTCCAAGGGTTGCCAGCCCTGGCAGAGCCAGAGAGGAAGCAGATGCCAGCGACCGCTGAGCCAGGGTTAGGTCACACAAGGCTAGTGTGAGCAGCCCCAGCCCTGTCCCAACCTGCCCCATAACCAGCAGGCCAGGCCCGGCCAGCTGAGGTGGCCATGCTGTGGTCACAGGAGAACTTTCTGCTGCTGCTGCACAGAAAAGGCCTGCCCGGCGAGCGCCATGGAACCCAGATAACCTCCTCCTCCCCAGCACCCGCTCCTCCTGCCCCCTGGGCCTCCTCGTGTGAACTCATACACACGGACACGCACACGTACACCCCATCTAACACTACTGGCCCCTGTACAGCCAGGCTCCACAGGCCAGTCTATCTCTAAGCGGGGGACTCAAATCACAGCTTTATTGACTTTAGGGTTTGAACTTAGCCACACAAAATGGGCACAGCAAAGGGTGGTCAGGGAGTCCAGGAACTGAGCGTCCACACAGGATCCCTTGTGGGAAGTTGGAACACTACCTTCCTTTCCTCCAAGAGGGACCAGGCCACCGCGAAGGTGTGGTCAGTCCAGGAGCAGGGCGGGCTGGCCGGTACATGATGAGCAGAATGTCCTCTGGACTTTCAGCTCCCGCCCTTGTATGAAGTGCAGGTGTCTGGGTCTCCCGGACCCACCCAGGTAAGGGGCCAAGTCACACAGACCTGAGCTGGGGGAGCACTTCTGTCTCCTCTGTGCCTTTGTCCTCAGAGAGGGCTCCTGGGATGCAAAGGGCCCTGTGAGCCCAGGGGCAGCTGGCTAACGGTGGCAGGAGTCTTGGGAATGAGAAGGGAATTCACTTTGGGGGCTCGAGTTCAGGTACAGGAGGAGGAGGAGGCTGGGTCTGTTGTACTCGCACTTGGGGGAAGCGTTGAAGGACCTCTCCAAGCCAGGGCCCCTCCCTGGCTGCAACCTCAGTGTGCCTCTTCCTGTCCCTCCATCACGCAGGGGACTAGGTGGCAAGTACAGGGCAGGGGCCCTGCCAGAAGCCCAGTGCACTTCACCAACCCCTCGCCCTCATGGAGAGGAGAGCCCAGGTGTCTATACTTCGGTCTGGTCTCCAGGCTCAGCACTGCCCACAACGGCCAGCGAGGGCTCCTTGCCCTCCAGGAAGGTGGCGACACTCTGCTTTTGGCTCCGGAGGGCCAGCTGCAGGGGTGTGCAGCCCTCCCCTGCCTGGACGTCCATCTGGGCACCAGCTTTGACCAGCACTTTGAGGATAGCCATGTTGCCCTTCAGGGCGGCCAGGTGGGCAGGGGTCCAGCCTCCCTTGCTGCGGGCATGGACGTCTGCGTGGTGCTCCAGGAGGTGGATGACGCTCAGGAAGCTGCCCCTCTGCACCGCCAGGTGGAGGGGTGTCCAGCCTGACTGCTCGGCAGCATTGGGGTCAGCCCCGCATTGCAGCAGCGCTGCCACTACCTCCTCCTCCCCGTGGCGGGCAGCCAGGTGCAGGGGGGTCCAGTTCATGCTGCCGGGAGCCCCTAAGTCTGCATGGCTCTCAGCCAGCAGATGGATGATCTCCAGGTGACCCTTGTAGGCTGCTAGATGCAGGGGTGTCCAGCCCTGCTGGGTCGGCAGCTCGAGGCTGGCCCCATGTCTGAGCAGCATCTTGCAGATAAGGTACCTGCCCCTGGCGGCTGCCGTGTGCAGTGGGCTGTAGCCATCCCGGTCAAGGGCATCAGGGGCCGCCCCACTCTTCAGCAGGTGTTGGATGGCCCTCACTTTGCCTCGCTCCACTGCCAGGTGCAGTGGTGTCCGCAGGTTTCTCTGCTGAGCATCTAACTCAGCCCCCTGGCCTGTCAGCAGCTTGACCAGGGTGACATGGCCAAAGTAGGCGGCCACGTGGAGAGGGGTCTTGCCCTCGGCCTCCCGCAGGTTGGGATCAGCTTGACGGGAGACCAGAAGTCGTGCCACATTTTCAAAGTTGTTCTGTGCAGCCAGGTGGAATGGGGTCCACCCCTCATGCTCCTGGGCATCCACGCGGGCCCCGTGGTCCAGGAGCAGGCGGGCGGTGCGGTCGTCCCCATTCTGGGCTGTGAAGTGCAGCGGAGTCCAGCCGTCCTCATCGGCCAGGTTGGCGTCGGCCCCGTGGTCCAGGAGCAGGGCGCACAGCTCAGGCTGCTGGTCCTGGGCGGCAATGAGCAGGGGTGTGTAGCCGCAAGCCGTCTGGCAGTCCACGTCGACCTCATGGGCCAGCAGCAGCCTCACCTGCTCCACGCTGCCCTGCGCCACCAGGAAGTGGAGGGGGGTGACCTTGTTCTCGTAGATGCGCAGCTCCTCATCACTGGGGACCAGGCTCTCACTGTCCGAGAGCTGCAGGACCCGCTTCAAGTTGCTTCCTAAGTCTGCTGGGAGAGAGGTGGGGTTGAAAAGAACCTTGACCTGCCCAGAGGTCATCTCAGCCACCCTTCTGCCTCCTGAAGTACCTCCCGGGGTGGGGGGGGCAGTGGCTAGAGAAGCAGCTTTCCTGACACCCAGGTCTCTGTGCAGGGTCCACTGTTCTTCCCCTGAGAACGGGGGGCAAGGCCTGGGTGCAAATCCTGACCCACTGCTCAGCATCACGTGCCCTGAGCCAACTCTGACCCTGAACCTCCAGGTCCTGATCCTTAAAGAGGACACAAACAATGCCCACCTCATACTACCATTGTGAAGACAGACTGCCCTCCCCACCACTCCCCAGGTGTCCCAAGATTCTGATTTCGTTAGTCTAGGTCAGTGGTCGGCAAACTGCGGCTCGCGAGCCACACGCGGCTCTTTGGCCTCTTGAGTGTGGCCACGAAGTTTCAATCGCACTGTACGTGCACGCCCACACGTGGTATTTTGTGGAAGAGCCACACTCAGAGGTCGCAGTTTGCCGACCACTGGTCTAGGTGGCCCAGGCATTGGCATATTTTTTCATTCTCTAATTCCTGGGGGGTGAGGGGTGAGAGGGGGCCTGGGAGGCTGGGAAAATGGTGTGGTTTTCTCTTCCCCGCGAATTCTCTGGCTCCCAATGTGCATTCTGGACTCACCGCTGTCTGTGAGCTCCTGGCTGACCTCCTCACTGACCTGGGGAGGGAGAACCAGAGACCCAGGGTGGATCAGCAGGGCCGTTCTGGTCCATGCCGTCCGCCACTCCTTCCCTCTCCCCAGTACTGTCCTTCAGGGGTAGGACTCACATCCCCCAGGTCCTCAGAGACCCCTCTCCTAGCCACTCCCACCACCAGCTGTGTCTAAAGGAAAACCTGATGGGGAGGCTCTGCTAGAAAAAGGTGGTCCAGGGCCTTGACTTCCCCTTGGGCCACATGGTAAGCAGGGTGGCTGTGTGGGTTCAGCATGGAGCCTACACCAGTGGTCGGCAAACTCATTAGTCAACAGAGCCAAATATCAACAGTACGACGATTGAAATTTCTTTTGAGAGCCAAATTTTTTAAACTTAAACTATATAGATAGGTACATTGTTATTAACTTAATTAGGGTACTCCTAAGGCTTAGGAAGAGCCACACTCAAGGGTTCCAAAGAGCCGCATGTGGCTCGCGAGTCGCAGTTTGCTGACCACTGGCCTACACCAACCGTGGCTGGCTCACAAGTCAGGGAATGGACAGGAGAACAATGATGGTGCCGACGTCCAGTGTGAGGAAGCCTGGGCGAGCTGAGGTCTCCCCCTGCAGGACAGGCCTCTGCTTCATCCCACACATTTGAGAGAGGCCACACCCACCACTAGCCCTAGAGAACCTTGGCATACTTAGGGAAACAGGACCCCTGGCACAATGAGGGCTGGGTCCCCACTTCCCCTTCAGCCAGGCGGCCTTGTGAGGGCCACACCTGTGCACCACCCCCATTGCCTGCCACAGACCACGCCCAGCCACCACACCCACCTCCCGGGGCCAGCGGAGAGACGGCTTGCAGGACACCTTCCTGGCCAGGGCCTCGCTCTCGGGGTCTGTCACAGGGCTCTGGAGCAGCGACAGCAGCAGGTCCGTCTCGACGGTGATGTCTGCTTCACCAGGGAGAGAGAAAGGAAGGAAGCCACAGGCAGACTAGCAGTCCTCCCCCACTGTGGATACGCTACGTTTCCTGTGCCCCCACCACCACATCTGTTCCTGGGCTCACACACATCGCACATGTGCACCCGGAGGCAGGAAAGATCAGTCCCAGCCTCGCTCAGCGGGGCCACGCGGCAGGTCACGGACCCTCTGAGGGTCAGTCCTTTTTCACAGATGAAGGGAGGACTAGGTGAACTCTAAGTGCTCACAGTCACGCCTATGTGCATGTTTGCACAGTGAGCTCCTAGTCTGGGAACATTTATAATGGCGACCGTAAGTACTACCCGGAGAACTCAGAAGCAGCAGGGCCAGGCCCAGCTGCCTTCCCGCAATAAGGCCTTCTAAGCACCTCCCACAGGCTCAGGGCAACTCCCAGAGGTCAGACTCCCGCCCCCCTGTCCCCTGCCGCCCCCCACCCCGAGCACCCGCCCCAGTCCTCAGCTGCCCTGAACCCCAACCCCTTCCCAGCGCTGCATGCTGCCCAGAGCCCCCAGGCCTCTCTGCAGAGCCCTCAAAGTGGCCGGGGCTCCACTTCCTCTCCTGACCCCTCCCATCCCAGACCCGCCCTACTCCCCATTCCCTTGGCAGGCCAGGCAGGTGAGAACCTGAAAAGCAGGGTCTCTTCTTGGGGTCCTGGTCCCAACAGCGCTTCATCAGGTCCACCATCTGCTGGGCCTCCCCTGGCCACTCATCAGAGACAGACTGCAGGGAGGGCCTCATGCCCGTAGCCACTCCGATGATGATGTTCATCATATTGAGGCCTGCGAGAGGAGCCCAGGAAGTGTGGGCGCTGGAAGGCAGGGCGCGGGGCGGGGGGGCAGAGGGGCTGGGCAGGAGGGGGGGTCTGAGGATCCCCACAGGGTGGTGCACGCAGCAGGGCCCTTATGAATGCATGGGGAGTACACAGCTAGATTGCAGGTCCACTTTAGGTTCTAAGTATCTGGTCCAACCTCAGCCACTTCCCAACCCAAGACCAGACATGACCCCACCCTATTGACCTTTGCTGTCCAAAGACAGCAAGGCTGACCAATAGGCCTAATGGTGAACTTGACTTTCAGCTCCACTGGGTTATCCCAGTTTCCTGAGAGTCTGTTTCCCTGACATTCTCAGCAGCAGGGTGGGAGTGGGAGGTGCAGGGAGGAGCACAGGAATGAAAGCAGAAAGCCTGGCCTGGGCTGACCTTCACCCCACCTTTCACTGTAAGGTGAGCTCTGGAAAGTAGGGGAGGAAGGAAGGTGGGTATGGATGGGAATCCCTGAAGAGTTCCCCACAACACAAACCTGCCCTGGCTTTGTCCCCATGAACCCTCAGCCCTCCCACAACCCCTGCCAGGACCCCATCTGAGGGTCCCACTGCCGTCTGCTACCTGAGTATGGTTTCTGTTGAGTGAGGACGTCCCAGATGACAATCCCGAAGCTGCAGATGGGGAAAGTGTTCCTGGTCAGGGGGTCCGACGGGCTGCACAATCCCAGGCAGATCCTCTCCAGCCAGAGTCCCTCTCCATGCCTCCCCCGTCCCATGGGGCAGGGAAGGCAGACCTCGTCCCTGCCCTACCCTGTCCTTTGGGCCCTGGGTCCAGGCAAGGCTATGACAAGTTACTTCCTGGGTATGGAGATGGGGCCAGCCCCCCTCTCACCTGTACACATCGTATTTGGGTCCTGGGGCCATGTTCCTCTGCAGGAACATCTCAGGGGGCATGTAGCTGAGGGTGCCCCGCAGAGCCGACCTCTCGATGTACTGCATCCGGGTTGACTGTTCCATCCATTTAGACAAGCCAAAGTCTGAAATCTGGGAGGAAGCCCGGGGTGAGGACAGGGGCAACAGTCTTGCCTCCATAGAACTGTTTCTCTCCCCTTTCCAGCCCAGCTCTCCCACAGTGATCTGGAGGACCTTATCTTTTCAGAGCCCGTTTCCTCATCTATAAGCCTGAAATAATGAGTCCTTAACTCACAGTGCTATTATGAACATTCAATGAGTACATAAGCAAAAAGCACTTCGAGCAATGCCTGGCATAGTAAGTACTTGGGAGGTGTTGCCTTTATCCAGAGAGACTATGGACAAAGTTGCTCTTTGGTGAGCTTCTGTCCATCCCATCTCCACAGATCCTGAAGCATTTACACCACAGATATGGACCCCCTCTTAACTTCCATCCATTAATTCATTCATATGCTGAGTGAGCAGTCACTGAGTGCCAATTCGGCTGGGTACTGAGGTTGAGACAGCAGATAGAAAAGATGAGAACCCTCACACCCACTCCTGTCCCAAGTGGTTATTCAGAAAGGGGTATAGTCACTATTGAAGTAGTGTTACATATCCTATATAATAAAGAGCTAATATGCAAATGGTCATCACACCCTTGCGCCCTAGTGCAGGAACTGCTCAGACATTCAACACTGGGGAGAGAGGAATGGGGACCAGCCAGGCACAGAGGAGCTCATGAGAGAGGAATGGGGATCAGCCAGGCTGTGGCCCGGGAGAAGGACAAGCCATTTGCCTGGTGGTTCTGGGTGCCAGCACCTGCAGCCCAGGAGAGGGACAAACCACCTGCCTCACAATCCCGGGTGCCTGCAGCTGCGGCCTGGGTGAAGCCACCCGCCCATGGTCTCCTGTGGCTGCGGCCGGCCTAGGTGAAGCCAGCCCGGGTACTGGGTGCCTGCGGCAAGCCAGTGGGAGGGAAGGCCAGGTCCGGGTGCCTGCGACTGGCCAGAGGAGGGAATCATGGGTCCCAGGTGCGGGGCAAGGCAGAGGTGGTTAGGGGCGATCCGGACAGCAGTGGAGCAATTATGGACG